AAGCGCACACGCGCACACGCACACGCACACGCACACGCACACGCGCACACGACGGCCCCTCGGCGCCAGCGTGCCCGCAGAGCGCCAGACGCTCCCATCCGGGACCCCGAAGAAAAAAACAACCGTCGACGTGAACCACAAATTGGTTCGGCCCGTCGGGTGGTTCTTCACTTCCAAACATGGCCACTCCTTAGTTACAAAACACACACCCACGCAGCCCTGAGCCGTCGAGCTCGCGACAAACATCAAGTTTACACCCCTGCGGCAATGAAAGTTCACGAGCTCGCCACATGCTGTGACCACATAGCGCGGCGAGGTACCAGACCCGCGCTCCTGCGCCAAGGATGAGGATGAGGGACAAGATGTTGTGGCGAAGCGAAACGAGCCAACAATATCTTGTATATCTATATATAGATTTAAAACAACAACACCTTCCATCCTCCCAGCTGTAAGGCATGCAAAAATGCATGGTCATACATCTCAAGGATGTGTCCAACGACAGCGCCGTTTGAAAAGGGGCTGCCCTCAACCTGCGTGAACATGGCGAATTTGCAGAAAGCTCGCGCCGCAAAGCTATAGGAAGTCTCCACGGAGAGATCAATTAAACAATGCACCGCCCTCCATGCGTGGAACTGTCATTGTACACCTCTGAACTTCGCACCATAAACATAAAGCCCAAGGCAGTCCAAAGCAGGAGCCCCATTTAGAAAACTGAGTGCCCTTTATCAGTGTACCTGTTGTAAGCTTTCCAAACGAAAGCGTGTGGCGCCAAGTCGAATTACCTATCTTAAAAACCACCTGCCTTCCATCCGTGTGCCCGTTGCAAACTTGAAGCGACTGGGAGGGTCACCAAGGCGAGGGCCCAGTTCAAAACACATCCGCCCTCCGCCAGTGTTGAAGACGCATGTGGGCGGCGCCATTGCGAGAGCCCCACTTTTACAACGACTTGCGCTGCAAATCAAGGGTCGCGAAGAAGTCTCAAGCGAAACGCAAGGCCCGCCAGAAGGAAGAGGGATGTAGGCAGAGGACAAGGAGGAGGGAGAGGAGGGCCCAGAGGTTCAAAAGCCTTCAGGTGCCAGAAGAAGATCGAGAGCCTTCAGAACCTTCAAATACCGGACAGAAAAAGCATAGAAAGAGGAAAGCCTCCAGCATGGAGGTTCAGCCTCCTTACTGGATTTCTTTTTCCTACGCTCTGGGGGCTTCTGCTTCCCAAGCGGAAGTCGGATTTTCGAAATCGTAAGTTCCAATGCTTTTGGAGCCGAAGGGGTGAGGAGGTCGTCCCCAGATGTCTCCTGGAGGTAGGTCACCATGAAATCCCCAAGGAGGCCTCCGTAAGTCGCTGAAGGCCGCCAAAAGTCTCCAAAGGATGCAATAGAGGAAGGAAGAGGAGGAGGAGGATGAAGAAAAAGGGGCTTCAAAACGCTGGCACGCTCGATCGCTCGGGTGCGTTCGGGCAGCTCACGGGAAGCCCTCAATTTGAGACGGAAGCCATGCGTCGCACTCGCGCCCCCGAGCTGCAGAACCACTCCACCGCCACCTCCACAGTCAAGCAATTTTCGCCGTGACATGCCGGGCACGTCTCGAATTTAGCCAGCAAGAGCTAAGGTTGTCTCCAGAACCTATTTGGAAGCTGAACATGTAGCTAGGTCAAGCGCTATCTGGCAAGCGCCAAAATGATGGCTGGGGTATGTACACGAGCGGGACGAGGAGAGGCATGAAGTCGCCCGAGACGTAGTACAAGCGGGCAGAAACAAAACATCCAGAGAAGGTGGCGTAAAAAATAACAGAACCGCGGTGCTCGCTGGCGCATGCAGCACTTAGCCAACGAAAGGCTGCCCAGCAACATTCCCCACCTCGCCGGTGCTCTCAAGTCTGCCTCTTCGAACGAAGCGTGCAGACTCTCAAACCCATGGTGCCTCCGCCAGGACCCCTTCAGTGCCGCTCCTGAAATCCGCCGATCCGGCGTGTGAGTTTCTGAGAGCGTGGGCTTGAGCTCGCTCAAGCTTCGCTCTGCGGGGGGGGGACCTCATTTCCGACCTCATTTCCGACCTAATTTCCGACCTAATTCAGTGCTTCGCACCCACCCCCCCTCCAGAGCGGACCTGCAGAGCGCCCCCCCCCCTCCTGCAGCCCAGCTCCCCCCCCCCTGCAGAGCGGACCCCCCCCTGCAGCTCCCCCACCCCTGCAGAGCGGACCCCCCCCCCCCTGCACCCCCCCCTGCAGAGCAGACCCCCCCTTCTGCACCCCCTCCCCCTGCAGCCCCCCCCCCCCCCCCCCTGCCGGAGTGCCCCCCCCCCCTGCAGAGCGGACCCCCCCCCCTCCCCTTCACCCCCCCCCCCCCTGCAGAGCGCCCTCCCCTGCAGAGCGGACCCCCTCCCGTGCACCCTCGCCCCCCAGAGCGGACCCCCCCCCCTCAGAGCGGACCCCCCCTCTCCCCTGCAGTCCCTCCCTCTGCCGAGCGGACCCCCCCCCTGCAGAGCAGACCCCCCCCCTGCAACCCAGCTCCCCCCCCGTCGTCGTCGTCGTCGTCGTCGTCGTCGTCGTCGTCGTCGTCGTCGTCGTCGTCGTCGTCGTCGTCGTCGTCGTCGTCGTCGTCGTCGTCGTCGTCGTCGTCGTCGTCGTCGTCGTCGTCGTCGTCGTCGTCGCGTCGTCGTCGTCGTCGTCGTCGTCGTCGTCGTCGTCGTCGCTCGCGTCATCGTCGTCGTCGTCGTCGTCGTCGTCGTCGCTCGCGTCGTCGTCGTCGTCGTCGTCGTCGTCGTCATCGCCGTCGTCGTCGTCGTCGTCGTCGTGGTCATTGTCGTCGTCGCTCTCGTCGTCGTCGTCGTCGTCGTCGTCGTCGTCGTCGTCGTCGACGTATTCGTTTTCGTCGTCGTTTTCGTCTTCGTCATCGTTCATTTCCACAGGCACCCGGAGCGCCCCGGATCGGCGGCACGGGCCGGAGGCCACTACAATAGAGAGAAGTCTTGGCGAGCCTAAAGGGGGGGGACTCAATCATTCCCGTTTCGACGTCCCCTCCGCCTTCCGCCGGAAGTATGGCCTCTTCATCTGGTCTGCCAGGCACAGAAAACATCGTTCGTTCGCCAATGGGGCATCGAAGTGCGCGCGAATTTCACCCAACGAGGTACTGGCTGCCAACGCGGGCCGACCGTGGGGACCGAGAAAGAGAGAGAGAGAGAGAGAACAACAAATCAATATAAAGTAAAAAGAGAGAAGGAGATAGAGAGAGAGAGAGAGAAAAAAAAAAAAGAGCATGCAAACCTACTACTTGCTATGCAGGGCGCCGCACACCCAGGCAGCTGGCACGACTCACGCGCCGCTCAGGGTTTCGTGGGACAGCCTCTGCCGCAAGCTGTCATGGCAAACCCGCCGTGGCAATCCCGAACAAGCCGTGGCAACTGCCGCAAGGATTACGGCTGCTGCCTGGCCGTACGCGGGTGCAGGAGGAGGGGGAGGAGAGGAAGGAGGGGGAGGGGGACCGGAGTACAGTGGGGCGTTGACCTAAGGAACCCTAAATAAGGAACGAGGCCTTTTTTTCCACAAGTTAAACTTCGATTTCCTATCGAAAACATAAGGAAAACCGGAGGCAAGCTGTGAAACACTGAAGGAACGCGGAGCCCCTCCCCAACGAAAAGGGTTCCTTCTTCCCAGACCCCCGACGTCATGATTTTTTCATGACGTCGACCCCCCGAGGTCTCGACCCATTCCCCGGGACCGGTTTTTCGTCCTGAGTCGTTTTTTGACGCTCCCGAGGCCCGGTGAGGGCCCCCGGAGGCCGAACATTAGGAAAAACCTCCCGTCATGATTTTTTCATTCCTCGAGGGGGTCTGGGTTCAGGGCCCCGACTGTAAGCCCAGGACTTGCGCTGCGTCGGCGATGCCCAACAAGCGCGAGGGGCAGACCGCGCAGGAGGAGGAGGAGCAGGAGGAGGAGGAGAAGGAGGAGCAGGAGGAGGAACAGGAGGAGGTGGAGAGGGAGGAGGGGGAGGAGCATGAGGAGCAGGAGGAGAGGAGGAGGAGGAGGAGGAGGAGGAGGAGGAGGACAGGAGGAGGAGGAGGAGCAGGAGGAGGAGGAGGAGGAGGAGGACTTGCGCTGCGTCGGCGATGCTGCAGTCCGCTCCCCCGTCCCGCCTCCCCTCCGCACGAGGGTCCAGCAGAGACCCCGACAAACGAACGCCCCGCGGGCCTGCCCTTATCGCAAGACCCTTTTTTGTTTTGTTTGTTGTCGTCTTTTTTATATTATTGTTATTCGTAATTGTTGTTTACTATTATATATATATGTGTATACATGTATACATAGACATCTATATATGTATATAGACATATGTGTATATCCATATATGTATACATATATATATACATACATACATACATACACGCATCCATACATACATGCATGAATACATACATACATACATACAAACATATATATATATATATATATATATATGTATCTTGCCACCTTTCTCGCGCCATGGCCACGCCTCGCAGAGGTCAATCTATGTGCGAGTGGAAAGGCTACTCGCTGGCAGGGAAGAAACTCGCGCACAAAGACAGAGGATGAATTCATACGTTAGTCAACTCCGCTGTCGAGTCGAAGCATGGGCGGGCAGAAACATTTGCGACAGCGCATATAAAGAACAAGGGAGGGAGCTTGAGCGAGACAGTTACGGAAAACACATAGGCAAGATTCTAGCTTGCCACCAGAAAAACCGACCATTTTCAGTTGAAAGGGGTCGGTTTCTGTCTGAGCCCGCGTAACGAGATTCGGCCAACTTCGTTCGAGAGGGGCCCCAAGATCAATGTACAAGTACGGGCAGATCTCTTGCCACCTTTCTCACGCCATGGCCACGCCTCGCAGAGGTCAATCTATGTGCGAGTGGAAAGGCTACTCGCTGGCAGGGAAGACACTCGCGCACAAAGACAGAGGATGAATTCATACGTTAGTCAACTCCAAACTGAGACCTCTCCAAAGTCTAAACATGGCACGCCGTTCAGATCAATCTCTCTCTTAGGTTACACACAGCACGAGCAATCATGGAAACACGATACTGACTGACAAGACGCCTGCACAAGGGTCGAGGATAAGGCTCAGCCGTCTTAGTAAGCCATCTACCATCGGGACCCTTACCATGCAACACAATATGCATTCTACCAGCGCGATCACACTTACGTTCATTCCTAGCACTATGACACACGCGCGCTGCCGCACTCAAGTCAAGATGAGCATACATGATTCTCGTTCGCTTCCGCCAGGGAGCGCCATCCATGCAGAAATCTGTCACAGTCTCTCTCACCCCAGGCCGCTGGCCGGCGGCCTGCATGTAGGGCGTCAGCCACAGGCGGGACGACGCGGGGTTCTCCAACGCCGCCGGCGCGCCCCGCTCGAGGCAGCACAGGAGGGCCTTGGCGGAGAAGCGGCAGAGCTCGTTCGCCACTTCCACCTTCACCCTGTCGCCCTCCGACAGCCCGTCCAGGCCCAGCGGCTGCTCATCCGAGCGCAGCCGAGGCGGCCCGGCCCCGGAGTCCCGCGCCCGCGAGAAGGTCGCGCAGGGCGTTCCCAGCCAGATCGCCTTACAGCACCCCGAGCGGATCCAGCCCAGGATGAGACGCTGAGCTGCTCTGCGGCTGAGATCGTGTGAGCTGTGGAAGCCGACGTCGATCTCGAAGATGGGCAGGCCCCAGGGCGCCTGCTGCCTCCAACAGTGGCTGAGGCGCCCGCTGCCCGCGAAGATCTCCAGCGCGAAGCCCTTGGCCCCGGCTAGCCGCGGTATGTCCGCGAGAGGCACGCGCCGAGGGTGCGCTCGGCCTCCAGCGCCGCGTTGAGCTCCTCCGCCGTCAGCGACTGCAGCACCTGGTCGACGCGCCCTCCTTTCTCGTACCGCTTCACGGAGCGCTGGCTGTGCCACCTGCCTCTGCGCATGAGGTCCTCCGAGCTGCGGAACTGCGTGAGCGCCTCGTGGGACGCGCCGCCGTGCCGGAGCTGGTATAGCGCGGGCGCGGCGAGGCTGGGAAACCGCCGCCTGGCCGCCGCCCTCAGGGCCTCCTGCCACTGGGCCGCGCTCAGCGGGAAGAGAGGCTTCCCGAACGGCACGCTCTTGAGCAGCCACTCCAGCAGCGGCAGCACCAGGTCGAACTCGGGGTTGTCGAACACCATGCACTCGTCCTGCGCCCCCACCTTCGAGGTCACTCCTCTCTCTTGGGGGTGGAGCACCGCTGACCACTTGCGGCGGCTGCGGCCTCCGCCTCGCACCGGAGCCACCAGGCAGCCGCCCGCCAACCTCAGCGTCTCCGCCGGCCTCAGCAGCAGCACGAACGCCACAAGGGTGGCCCCTGCGGCCGCCAGCTGCCCCTGCGCGTGCATCTCCTTCACCAAGGCAGCAACCGCAGGCCACGGCAGCGGCAGGCGCGAGCTGGACGGGTTGTGACGCCTCCAGCCCTGGAGCGCCCGCCGCGAGCGTCGCAGCTCCAGCGCCCCACGGGGCGCCCCCGGGAGCAGGTGGCCCAGCGCCGCCAGCATCTTCGCGCCGGTCGCCAGGAGCTCGCCCTCGAAGAACTGCTCGTTCAGCCACTCCAGCAGCGCCGCGTCGGCCTTGGCTGGAGTCTCCCAGCTGAGACCCTTCTCCGAGGCCCAGCGCGTGAAACAGCCGAAGCGGTGGCGGTAGTCCTTCTGCGTCGAGGGCCCCGCTGCCTCGTCCTCCAGCACCGTCAGCGCGCGCGCCCCTGGGGGCACCCCCCGCTCCAGCTGCGTCGGCCCGGGCCCCAGCAGCGCCCGCCGCCTGCCGTCGGCGGCAACCTCGCGGCTGGCGCCCGCGAGCTGGTGCGCGGCCGAGCTCGCGCCAGCGGCCCTGCTTGCGGCCTGCCGGCGGCGCCGCCTCGCCTCCCCCAGGCCCCCGTTCGCCTTCCTCTTCGCCCCCGCTCGGATTTGTGGGGTGAGCGAGCCCAGGCGGCGGCCGGAAGACGAAGCTATCGGTCCCCTCGCAGCCGATGAAGCCGCCGGTGACGGGACCCACGAACTCGAAGCCGCTGAGGTCGTGGCGAGCGAGGCGCTCTCGAGCCGTCGATCCGTCGGCCCGCGGCTCAGCATGCCGGGCAGCCGCGGCGCTGCGCTCCTCAGAGCCCCGCGAGGCGCCGTCCGCCGCGTTCCGCTCGGAGCAGATCCAGCGAACGTGAACGACGGCAAAGCTGGCCAGGCACAGGGCAGCCCACTGCCTGAGGCAGCGCCCCATAGCCCGGCTCGAGCTCCGCCCCTTTGCCACGCCGAGCACAACGGCCATGGCATCACTGAGAACGAGGTGTCTGCGTCCTATATAGCACGGCTGTCCCGAAGAATGTGACGAAGGGCCCACACACCGGCCCGAGCTTCCAGGATCACCTGGTCCCCCGAGACGTCCCAAGGCCTACTAGCCACGCGCCTCCAGCACCCGCCCCAGACAGACCTGGGCACCGCAGGCACCCCTCGAAGATCACCTTGCTCTTGTCCCCAGACTCCCTCCTCGTCACGTGGTCGCACCCGTTGCTCCCCCGACTTTGTGAACCTCCACCTATCAGAATACTGCCCAGCATACTTGATCGCTCCGAGCTCGCATCGCCGCCCCATCACCCCGTACCCCCACTCGCTCGCGTCGAACACGGTGACCTTGGGGCTCCACTCCATGTTGAGCTCTCTCGAGGCCAGGGGCACCAGGCGACTTATCCACTCCAGCTCCTGCTTTACTGTGTCCCAGAGAGGCGCAACCCGAACAGGATGACGATCGATAAAAGCGTAGACAGTGTGAAGTACAGAAAGGATGGGTCGTCGGAGCAAGACGCGGAACGTGATGTGACCAACGATGCTTCTCAACTGGGCGCCGCTCGCACGACCCCGTCGCAGTAACTCTCGCAAACCAAGGATGAGGCGCCAGGCGGTGCGAGGGGCGACGCCTACGGCCGGCCGCCACTCATCGAAGTGCCAGCCGAGCGCGTCCCCCCCGCGGCTGCAGGTCACCGGGTGCACGCCAAGCCCGTCGGCCTTCAGCGCCTCGCCGACCTCGGTGGCCATGCGGCGCCCCTCCTCGCCGTCGGTGCCCAGCGCCACGAAATTGTCCACGTACTCGGTGTGCACCGGCCCTCGGGCAACGGAAGGCGCTGGCCTCCCGTCCACCAGCCGGTTGCCCCCCTCAACGCCCGCGACCCCCTCGGCCACGGCCTCGTGGAGGGCGTGGCAGACGCACAGAGCGCCCTTGAAGCCCATGGGTAGCGCACTCAGCACGGGCGCCAGCTTCTCCCCAGGACGCAGCCGCACTCCGCCAAGCCAGCCCACGCCGACGGCGCCAGCGCAGACAGGCTCCATCCCGAAGTACTCCCGCAGCTCCTCGGGGAGGCCGATGGAGTAGAAGGCGACCTCGATGTCGACTCCCGAGACGTGCACCGGCTCGTTCCCCTCGAACTCTAGCCGACCAAAGCTGTCTCCAGTAGCCAAGCTCACTCCAGGGGCGTCCTTAAACCAGCAATTGCTCACGCGGCAATCCAGTATAAGACGCTGCTCGCCCCCCTTCTTCCAGACACAAAATGTGCCCACACTCTTTTTGCAGCTGCGCCGATATTCGACGATGCCCCGCTCGTGCAGCATCCGCAGGAGCTTAGCATACTCCTTCGGCTTCTGTCTGATCAGCGGGTCGTTGTAGGCGCGCCGCAGCTGCTGTCGCTCCTCCTCTGCTTCGCCCTCTTCGGACGTCCGAACCAAACTCTTGAGAACCTCGAGAACCTTCGCGCCCGCCGAGCCGCCAACATCCTGGATGCGAGCAGGTCGGCGCTGGAGACTGGGCAAGGCCACCCGCTCCACCTCGAGGGGCGCAACAGCTCCGGCGGAACCGCCGTAGCTCTGCTTCGACAGGAGCTCCTCCAGGGCTCCCTGTCCATGCAAGTCGGCCGGGGGCGTACCGAGGTCGCGATGCGCCTGCTCGATCCGCTCCAGGCACGCCAACTGCGCCGCGCTGGGCTGCAAATTGGAGCCGCTCGGGTGGTTTGATCCCCCGTGCAGCTCATTGAGGGTGGCGATGGTCCCGGAGACTCCGTCCTCATGATGACGCCTTCGATGTCCTCGCTGGCGGACTGCATGGCTCAAAAACTTGCTCCCACCACCCGCTTCCCCGACCAGCTCAGACAATGGCGATCGGCTCGAAGGCAGAGGGGGCGGAAGAAGTTCACGGGCAACTCGTCGTCGCTCGTGAGGAAGACTGCAAAACTGTGGAGGGCGGCCTCCGCCCCTGCCGCTGGCGGCGCCCGCTGGCGGCCGGGGCCGGGGGGCGGGAACTCCCGCCCGATCACTCCCCATCCTTCTTCTTGTTCAGGGCCTGGCGCTCTTCCCGCGCCTTCCGCACCTGCTTCATGATGTTCGCATCCCTCTCGACCTCGCGCGATACGAAGTCCATCAACTCCGGCGCCAGCATGGCGGCCCCAGCGTCCCGGTGCTGACCAGTGAACACCAGGGCCTCGTCGAGCAAGCCGCCGCCCTTGCCAGCGCCCTTCTTGCCCTTGTTGTGGCTCGTCAGCTTGGCGACCCGCTCCTGCTCGTACACGTACTCCACCAGCTGGGCCTGCCGGAACAAGCCCTCGAAGCTCGCGAGGTTGCAGAGCTCCAGGTGGTCGTAGGTGGCCGCGTCCTCCACCGCCTTGAGGCACATGCGGTGCGCCTCCACGCCCCAGTCGCCCGTCTCGAGCCCGTGGAGCACGATGAAGTACCTGTGGTGATCCATCGGCCCGCCCCCTCGGCGGTTCAGGAACAGCATGCACCACTCGGCCGCCCTCGGGCCTACCACGGGCCAGTCGGCGAAGTCCGCCACGCTGGACTTCCCGACAATGTCCCGCCGCTGGCTTCGCAGCCGCCCCGCGTCGCCGAGGTCCACGCCCAGGATCCTCGCGTCGCTGGCGGCCTCGGCTCCGACCCAGCCCACCACCTCGCATCGCTTCAGCTGACGAAGGCAGAGGGACGACCCACGAGGCGTGGTGGCGAGCGCTCTCTCTCCAAGCACCACGGCGCCAGCGGGCAGCGCCAGCTCCTCGCCGCGCCGATGACGCTCGGTCGTCTCCACCACCACCCACACCACGGTCTGGTCGCCTCCCCCAGCGGCACCGCCTCCAGCACCAGCACCTGCTCCTCCTCCTCCTGCTGGGACGCCGACCCGCCGAGGTCCTCCCGCGGCGGCGGCAGCCCCCGCAGCAGCGGCGGCGGGCGCCGCACCCACGGCGGCTCCCCCTGCCGGAGCGGCCGGGGGGCCCGCGGCGCCGGCGCCCTGAGCACAGGGCAAGCGCTCGATGTAGCCCCCCGGCGGCACCACGGTGGGGTCGCGCCCGGCGGCCGTCTCGCGAGCCCGATGCTCCGTCCGCTCCATCGCTTCAGCCTGATCCGCGGCGTCGTCGAGCTCCTGCTGGGACGGCGCCGCGCGAAACCTGTACACGCTGCCTCGCGCCAGCCCCGGCGGGGGCGGCCAGCGCGCCTCAGCGTACCTCACCGCCGAGATGTTCTGCTCCTCCAAGTCGTACTTCTCCGGGTAGCAATCCCCGTCCGGGGTCAGGATGTAGTTAGTCGCCCAAGACACCCTTGAGCTCGCGACGCGCCGCCTCTGGTGCCACAACTCGCCCTCCCCATTGTAGAGGACGTACACCAACGCGCAGCTCGGGGCCTCCGGCTTGCTCAGCACCGCCGGCATCCTTCGCGGCGCGACGGCGGCAGCAGCAGCCCTGCGCTGCGCCTCGCAGCGCCTCCGCGCCGCAGGCGCCCGCCAGGCCTCCGAGCGCGAGCAGCCCCGCGGCCCAGCTCCACGGCAGCCCGAACTCGAGCTGCACCTCCGGCGCCGCCTGCAGCGGCCGGGGCGCGCCCGGACACGCCGGGCAGCTCGGGCAGGCTGGGATGCTTGGGCACCGACAGCTGCAGTCGGGGCAGTGGTGCTCAGGGCACCGAGGGCAGCTCGACAGGTAGCTGTGCGTCAGCCCTGCCGCCAGCCCAGCCAGGTCGCTCCACATCCACTGCGAGAGCGAACAGAAAGGGGATGTGTGGCCTCTCCACAAATTAAGCTTGAGCGAGACAGGTACGGAAAACACATAGGCAAGATTCTAGCTTGCCACCACAAAAAAACTACCATTTTCAGTTGAAAGGGGTCGGTTTCTGTCTGAGCCCGCGTAACGAGATTCGGCCAACTTCGTTCGAGAGGGGCCCCAAGATCAATGTACAAGTACGGGCATATATATATATATATATACACATATATACATA